AGGAGGAGTACAGAAGATGGTAGGAAAACAGCGTAAAAAAATCAGAGTAAGAAGTCTTACATGCAGAACAGGCACAATACATACATGCATGTGTGTTAAGTGATAAACTGAAATACTCTGAATAATGCTCTGAAAAAGAAACTTATTCTTTAAAGCACAGCGACAGCACTTCAATTACCTTGATGGAAATAGCTAACAGTAAAGAGAGCAAAGAAAAACAACAGTTCTAACAATGCACAGGTATCCAGTTTAAATAATCAGCCTGCATTCAGGAAAAGTATAAGGCTCTATCTTTAAAGAGAGAATGAGTGGCACCAAAAGGAACTACCAATGTTTGTAGCTCTCCTTAATAACTCACCTTGGCTTCCACTTCATATTGAAGAATGAAAGTTGTTGACAAGCAGTGTAAAAAGATGAAAAGAAAGTTAGCTTTGAATCAATTACAATTCACAACCATGAAATTCACACTGCTTTATGGTTAATTTATGGTTAATTTCCTTATCCCCCTCCTCTTTAGGAGCAGATGTGTATAACAGGGTTAAGGGTACGAAGCAATCAGCAAGATTCAACACTTTGTTGGTGACTACGCACAGTTCCTTGACTGGCTAGCTGTGGATCAGATTAAAAGCTTTAATCACCTGGCTAATTAAAACTTGTCTTATTGCCTGGTATATAACAAACCAACAGAGGTTATGAAACATTTGAGCTCATACATCACTAAAAAGACATTATCTGTCGACAATCATAAAACATCACATTTACTTGCAGGTACTTTGAAGGAATTCTCAAGTACCATCCCATAAAAACTATATAATTGCTTTTCAGTTCACACTGAAAAAAAGCCCAATTTTTTCCCTATACTACATCAAACTAATAGATACCTAACTCCCTAATAAAGAATATCTAGCCTAATTCCAGAAATTCCTGGTTTTAAGTATTTGTGATTCAAATAAACTAAAGAACACATAATAAAAGAGGGATGAAGAAGAGATTAAAGTTAACAACAATTAAGCTATACTAGACATTCAAACTGGAATATTTATCTAAAAGTTTTTAAAAGGTTTATCTCTCATGAGTATTAAAACTGAGGTAATATGGTAAAATTTCTTGGCTTTTATAAAACTTTAAAATGTTTTGCATTCCATGTAAAGCATTTTGGGACAATAAATTAGCAAGAGAAGCAATTTTACTGCTCAGATGTTGATGAAACTTATTTCTTTTAATGTTACTACTTTCAAAATCTGCATTACAGCATCATGATCAGTTCCACAGAATGCAATGATTTTACCTTGGCACTGGAGGAAGGGCACGAGGTGGGCACTGAAAGACAAGAGAGAGACAAAAGTCAGCTTCTGCCAGTATGAAACCACCTCTGAGAAAACAGCTTCAGATCAGAACATTCAAGGTATGTTTTGCTCTGTATGCCTCCTAAATGGCCAAACATTCCTAATGGAGATGTGATATAAAAGCAGGATGTAAAAGATGCTGGACTAATATGCCTTTACCAGAGTTCTGATGAGCACTGCAGTAGGAAGATACAGCTAAGCTTTGTGTGTGAGAAACAGCTTGCATTACAGCTTCAATAATTTTCACTTTTCATGTCAGGTACCACTTTCACTAGAAAGCTTATTAGTCATTCTATTTAAATAAATATAAAATATTGTGATAAATTATGCATTCAGTACTATTTTACAGTATACGACATGAGCTGAGCATTTTCTATTAATGAAAATGTAAATTCAGAACAATAAGAAATAAAAGGAAACAAGCTCACTTATGAAAATACTTTAAAATATTATAAAATATCATTTTTCCATATAATTTTGAACATATTTACCAGCAGGTCAAACACCTAAAATCTAAAAGGATCTCCAGATAATCTGAAACTGAGCTCGTACCTTTCTCTTATCCAGGAAAAGGAGTTAACTTTCAGATTTTGTATTACACAATTATATTGGAAGAATATACACAAAAAAGTATTTCCCATGCTCAGAAAATTCAGATACCAGAAATAAAAACGGCCGTAAAACTGGTAAGACTCAAGGATCCACAAACTCACCACTTGTTTCTTTCCCATATCATCTGAAGTCGTTCCCTGGAAGAGGCACTGTGAACTGGTCTAGGCTCCCTCACGCTGCTCACATTGAACCTCAGCTAATTCTGAACTAAAAATAAACTTCAGGCAGCCAGGATTAGCTGGAGCTGAACCCTTCTGCCCCGGGGTTAGGACCCAGAACTACTCCCATTTGAAACAAGGGCAGGTTGTTCAATGGCAGCAAATATTACTTGCACTAACAAACCCTTCACTCTGCATGCTGGCACAGGTTCCTATAAGCAAGTTTTACATTGGTTTGTTTACCCAAAGCAAAGGAGATACTTCGTGCAAGGCAGGGTTTGTGGGATTAGACCTCAAATCTCTCACTTGGATTTTGGCCATGCTGAAGACTGACAGCAAGTGCCACTTACACAGGTAGAGAACTGCACACCCTAAGTGGCACCCTGCAAACTGGTGGGCACTGGTCACACTATATTGGTGCACCATAAACGAAAAAAATATTGGTAAAGGTCAGATCGCATTACTTTTATAGTTTCCAACATTCTTGTGGCAGTAAATAGTAAATATTTAGAATACTTGGTATTTAAAAAACCCTAAAAGCTAAAAACCCCATAAAAACAAACAAAAGCCACAAACCTTTTATACAGCATTCACTGCCTATGCAGTAGTAATTCTGCACTCAGTAGTACCTCTTTATTTTATTGCCTTCTACAAAACAACTGGCAAGTGCATTGATTTCTGTATCATTTATTCCTTGCAACACAGGAAACCCTATGCAAGCAGCCAGTCGTAAATACTCATCTGTCCATCTGTGTGCCAGTCCCCAACTCTGCCATAGAGCTATCAGCTTTGCCTATTTGAAGTTTCACACAGAAGTAACTCACCCCAAATTTCACAGAAAGGGTGAGTTTGCGGACAGGTTCCCATGGACATTTTGTTATGGGCAGAAGAGCCGCTGAGTGCTCTAAAGTGTCCCGAAACCAAGAGACTCCGACAAACCAGGCAGCCACTGCCTCGGTCAAACCCTGTGTTTGCAAGCCTGAGCCAGGCTACGAGACAGTGGGACGCACCTGGAAACTCGGGGAAAAACAAACTACCCAGCTCCCCGGGTGTCCTTTCCAGGATGCGGAGAAGGAAAGGTTTAAATGTCCAGAAGGTTTAAAAACCCTGAAGCAGCCTTCACAGATTTGTTAAAGCCTTGCAGATTTTTTTTTTTGAGAGGTTTATATGAAAAAATACAACGAGGAAATGCTTGTTTGCTTCCGCAACAAAGATGGACAGAAAAGTGCGACCCTACGGCCGGTTACATTCCCCCCCTCCCGCGGGATGCAGCAGGGCGGGCATGCGGGAGCCGCGCTACGAGGGCGCTCCGCTCCCGCGCCGCGCTTCAGCTCCGCCTCCGGAGCAGCAGCTGTGGCGGGGAGCGCCCCGCCACATCCCTTCAACAACAGCGCTCAGGTGGGCCAAGCTCCCGCCGCCGGACCCCCCGCGCTGCAGCCCCACGGAGGGGTTCGCGCCCCCCTCCCGCTCCGGCCCCACCACCCCCTCACCACGCCGGGGCCCGCCCGCCGCGCCGCCATGGGCCGCGCCCGCCCAGCTCCGGCTCTGCGGGGAGGAGCCGCTGCTCCTTCCGCCCCGCCTCGCCCCGCGGCTGCGCAGCCCAGCGCCGGGAGGGCCGGCTTCCCTCTGCCGTGGCTGCGCGCGCCTCCGCCTTGGCTGCTGTTTGGTCGGAGTGAGCGCAGCTCCGGGGCCCCGAGTGGTAGTCGTCGTCTCTCGGCCTGCAGACAAGCAAAATCAAGGGGAAAAGGGTTCTGGACTACTTCAGCTTGTAGCTAGGGTCTCAAACTGATAAATGAAGTAATCGGAAAAAACAAAACAAAGCACCAAAAAAGTAAGAAATAATATATGGAAAAAAGACAAAGAGTCGACAAATGCTGGACTAGAAAGAAGTGGGGAGCCTGGTCATGGACCACCAGCAGAGAGCTGGCTGCTATCTCACCCTCTGTCAGTACTTACCCACATCAATGACATACTGGGGCTTGGGTCTCTCCCATTTTACCTCTAAACAGGGAATACAAGCCCTGGCTCTAGAACAAGCAGGGTGACTGTAGTACTTATCTTTAAATAACCTCTTTTTAGACTGCTTAACTCACTTTTATTGGTTTTCCTCCAGGATGAGGTAGGCCAACAAAATAACCATCCATGTACCTCAGGCAGCAAGACAGCTACAAATAGGAGGTGGAGTGAGGAGCTCAGTTGCCACAAGCATTGCACCCTTTCATGAGGAGACTGTGCTACCACAGACCAAACCAAAAATGGAAAGGTTTTCTGATTATCTTCCTCTTTGCTAAGTCCACATTCTATCAGTTTGTACTCACCTAAGTTGATGGAAGAGCAGAAAAGATATATTTACACGTATTATGACGATAACTGGGTTTTGGAGTCATTCATATTATGCCAACACCACTCCTAAAAAGGTAAAAAGGATTAGCAACAAACCAGTACCTTCATAAATAACACTCTGTTGACAGACACCATGCAAAAAAAGCACATTCTGACTTAATATAGTTTGTAAGGCTTCCAGAATGTAAAGGCATCACAGAACCAGAACAAGCATAATAAAAAGAGAGAAAAGGACCTTTCTGAACTTATGTGTAAGTAAATAACACAGATACATGCAACAAAATAGATTTTTCTTTATTCTTGTAATTGAGTACTCACAGTATTTCCTTTTTTTTTTGTACAAAAGTGGATCCAAGTGTAACATAAAAAGCTCAAAAGCTACACAGAACATAGTATGATTATATCTCCCATTGGAGCTTCCTTCCTAATCCTCTTCCAAATCCCTCACGTACAAAGATAAATTCTTGCAATCCTGACATTAGGATTATTCTTGAAGTAAAACATAAGCTGTAATCTTTCTGAAGCTGCCTGCTGCTTAGAATTAGGGCTGATTGTCTGAGCATATCCATACTGCAGGGACCCACTGGGGCTCATCCTGTGCACGATGTACTGCAGAGAGCAGCTGCGCAGATGCTTCTTGTAAATTGTCATTCACAATCACGTGATCAAAGAACTGACCAAACTGAGCTTCCATTTTCTTAGCTGATTCTTCCATCTCCTGTAAATCTTCTTCCTGTGAGACAAAGTTCATAAAACTGCAGTGTTGTGTAGAGAAACATACCTGCACAGCATCTGCAAGACACCTTGGTCCACATAAACAAGAGGTGAATAGATAATGTCAGTCTGCTTTATTTCATTTACAGTTTGCTATAATAAAGTACCTCTGCTACAGTCAGTTCCAGGTCTCAAAAACTGAGCTGCCTGCCATATGCTTCCCAAGGAAGTACCTTGTGTCTCAGGATACTCCATTTGCCCTAAAACAGTTACTCTAATGATAAGTGCTGGCAGAGAATGTTAGGGACTGGAAGATAAATCTACTAATGCTTGTGTTCTTACTCCAAATTTTAGTTTATTTCCCCCTGTCCATGTTGCTTTCTGTCATAGCAATCATGAATCATTTCCATATAGTTATAGACGGAGGTCTCCAAAATGTTAAGATGCTAAATTTGATGATGATTTGCCTGGAAACGATTGTGTCAAAGTGCTGTATATATTCTAAATATAAGAGATGCATTTCCTACAAGCAGGATCAGTGTTTTGTCTACAGAACTTAATATAGGATTGATACTGGCACTAAGCATACATTCTTATAACTGTGAAAAAAATAATAATACTACTGAACAAAGCACATTCCAAGTATTTCAATCAAACAGTAAATATATGTGTTGACTCAAATATTGACACAAGACAGCTAAATAAAACAAAAATATGCAAAATAGTTTCTCCTCTAAGACATTTTGAAGCAAAGTGCCTCAGCCCCCTAGGTTACAAATTACAGCTCTTATGCTTCAAAGCCAGTCTGGAAAGGGAAAAGAAATCCCAACAAAATCCACAGAAAAAGATAATAATTAGATTTGATCCTAAAGACACAGTACTGTTTTTTTAAGAGTTAACAGCGTAGCATAGTAGAATGCATTATGTTCTAGTAACAGAATCTCAGATTAATAAACTCAATCTCTTTTATTCCCAAATCTCACCTTGAACTTCATGTTCACATAATAATCTGTAATGATCCTGGCATTTTTACGAGTCTGCCTCATGCAGCCTATGCTGGGTGGCTTGATGAATATAACGTAGGGCTTTAACTCATGGGTCCGGGCTATTTGTATACCCTACAAATGAAGAGCAAAATAAAGTATTTCAAGTGCATTCATCCCAGCTTTACTCCCATAAAAAGCCAGTTGTTTACAACATACTGTGATCCCCAGACCTAGAAGACACTTTTTTTCAGGAACACTTACTTGAAAAAGATCTCACTAATAATCCCTGGAGCAGACATTGTTAAGCAACTGTAGCACACAATTACTTAATTCTGCTTGGTAGCCTCATTAGGAGATGCTTTCAATACCAGTGAATGATGGAACAGTGTCACTAACAGATCTGTACAATCAACCACATAAAAGATGCATTTGAAACCTATTCTTTTTTGACTCTAAGGGAGCTACATTTGGAACAAGTACCTCTCTATTGTTCCATGCTGGAAGAAAGTATCCTGCTTTCAGAATTCCTTTACTGTGTAACATTTCCTAATGCTAATAAGTATTTTTAAATTACTGCAGAGCGCTATAGGGAATGAAAAAAAAAAAAAAGAAAAACTAAAGAAAATCATAGCATGTAAACTTGGTCAAACCACCAGATTTAAATAAAGTATGCAACACAGCAGTAATTCTGCTACCTCACTGGTCTTACTTAATACTCTTTCTAATATTTTTCCTTTAAACTCGCACCCTAAAAAAAAATCTTGTCCAAGTGGCAAGATTACACACCCCACACCACCACACCCCTCTTTTACCCCTTTGCTTAAAAATGTAACAGAAGAAACCCAAAGGACAGTTTCTAAGGTGTGACCTCATCTACCTCGTACAGCAGTTTCAGTTTTTGAGTAGTACAAATCTTGTAACTTAATTTTTATTTTAAGCAGCACAAGCCACTGCCAGCCTAAGGCTCAGACACATTGGCTCTGCATAATTAGAGGGAAATATCCAAGCAATACTGAGTTATGGTGTCGCTCTTTACATTCAGTTAGAGGAGATGCTTAAACAGCATAGCCCAAACAGCTCCTATGTACTAAATACGCAAGCAATTCAGAGAAGGTTAGCAAGGTTTAGCCAGACACAGCTCTAAGTATCTTAGATATTTACAAGCTCAGGCTTTTATTAGCCTTATCTTCATCAGCAAATTCAGTGCAAAAATAGAAGGAAAAAAATACAAAGAGAAAGAGTATCTAAGTGAAGAAGCAGGTTACTAAGTGCTGTAACTGCTGGAGAGAAATGCAGGCACAAAGGCACACTAAAATTTTCAGCATTTACTTGATTACTTTAAGTGTTGCTGCTTTTACCAAAGGGTGTTCTGAGATTGCTAATACAAAGACAGAACTCTCAACAGTAGGGCTTGGAGGAGGAATAAATCCCATGCAACAGGTGTCCATATGAAAGACTAATCCTTACTTTAAGTAAGTATGAAAATTCATTTCCATACCATCCAAACTGATAATGCAGCTGCTGGCTTGGTAAAAAATGAACTGTCTTAACATACTTGTCACTGTAGTACCACCACCGCCACCCCCCTAAGACACATTAAAAGAATAATCTGTTATTAATAAGCTCCATGAGGTAAAGTGAAAAACAAGACAAAGCAACTAACACTGTTCCAATGGCACAAGAATGTAGAGAAAATTATTTTTCCTTCCAGAAGATTCCCTGCCCCTTTACCACTCACCTGTGGTTCTAAATCTATGACACAGATCTTCCCTGCATCAAGGACTGTTCTCACTGCATCAATACTGGTACCATACAGGTACCCTTTGTACTCCCCATATTCCAGCATTCTGCAAGAGTGGTGAGGAAGAAGGAAAATGAAAGAGCATTTGAGTTTCAAAAAGATTCCATTTAAAAGTGAAATCTTCAAATACAATCCAGTGATCAGGACTGAATAATCATAAAATTCACTGAATACTGTTCACCTTTGCTCTTCCCTGCTACACTAGGCACAAAAACCGTTACAATTCATGTCCAAAACCTGCATTTTTTACTCATCATGGTTTTATGAATTTTGTGTTTAGAGACTGTGATTTTACTTGTCAATGTTTGTCAATTACATACTACAAATAACTTCTTAAGTCTGAAGATTTCAAAGTACTTGGCACAGTTCAATGAGTGTCTCTTCCGTAGTGCTGAGCTGGTCTGTCTTAGAGAGATGATTGATGCATAGAAAGGAGCAGACACTTGTGAATATTTAGCCCTTACAGTTCAACTACTCGTGTGTCATCACTGCAGAGATCCTGCAATGGAGTTGCAGGTCAGGAACAGGTATGATTTACTGCTCAATTTTCAAAAGCAGTCTGGTTTCCTGGAGAGTTAAACTCATAACTTACGAGCACATTTAATGAGCTCAGGACTAGAGGGCCCACTTCCTTTTAGAAGGATTCTGAGATTAATTGTGGAGGAGCTATTTGCAACTGCACAAACACAGTCTTTGAAGAAACAGTCTCAAGTAGTTTGACACAAATTTACACCACACATACACAGTAGAAGTGGAGGAGCCCAGACTTGGGATCAACTACAAAACTGTACTTCTTTGATCATGTTGCATTTTAGGTAATAAAGATGTGATTCATCTCTCCTACTCACCTGTGACTATACACCATGTTTTCAAAAGTTTCCTTCGATATGTAGTGATATTCACGACCATTCATTTCATAACTTTTCTGAACACGAGTGGTGTCTGAAGGATGATATAACACACAAAAAAAACCCAGCTGCAACTAAATTATTGTAACTTTATTAAGTGAAAATGAGAACTTCATGAAGAACTATCAATCAGTATTTTCATAAATAATATTAGTTATTTCCATTTGTTAATCCAGAACAAAAACCCCATATCCTGTAATGGTTTGCCAGTGACAAGTCATTAAAAGTTATCAAGGCACATCTGTATTTCTAGGAATGGAAGAGTAGTTTAATCCAAATAGTCGTGATTCAAAGCAATCAGGAACTGCCTTGGAACTGGTTGCACAACTCTTTATTCTTCAGAGGCAATTTTTTTTAAAGTTCATTCAGAAAAATCCCACGAGTTTCCCACACTTGCACCTTCCCCTCATCTGGGACCTTAAGTGCTGAGTCATGACTTTTCAGCTAGCTTCAGATACATAATTTGCAGTTTGGTTATCTAAATTACAAGAACCAAATAAGCACAGGTAGAAATAATTTCAGTTGTTACGTCAGAAGTTAAGCTGCATAAGTCTCATCTGAGACTAGAAGGCTAATAAGGAAAGCTGCAAAGCCTATTAAGCACCAACTTCTGTTGTCTTCATTCTCATACCTGAGTACTTAAACCCTAAGAACTTGAAATATCTCTAAGAATTTTTTTTTTAAATCTAGGAAAAGCAAACACTAAAGTTAAACCAAATCATGCAGATAACTTTTAATCTCCATAAAGCTTTTAATGGTTTCAGAAGCTGGAACTTGAACATACCTTTGTCTGATTTGCCAAAGTGAGATAGATAGTATTTTAAACTAACCCTTAAGAAAGCAAACAGTACTGGCTTTCAGCAGAGCTGAAGAAACAGCCATAGAGCAAAGAGTGTATAAATACCAAAAGCAAGAGGAAGGTGCTTGGCATTTCCTATTCATGTTTGAATTGGGGTAGGGGAAGAAAGAAGAAAAGCATTACATACGAGGTGTGGCACTTTGAAACTCTCGTGGATTACTTGTGATTAGCCTTCGCCGTAGCTCATTCACACCAACTCCTGCGGGACCTGGAAAGTTGGAAGAGCAGCTAATATTACTGACAGGGTAACAGCAGCTAGTGTTACTGACAGGGTACAAATCACTCCACAGCAATGTAGCCACACCCAGGAGGCAAATCAGCAGTACTATTTTAAAACAAAAAACTTATCAAATACTTCCAGACTTAGAAAGGACAGTGGATTTGCCTTGACTCAGTTTGCTTCATCAGGACCATAGAACAGTGCAGAACAGCATCCTCCCTTACGTCGCTACAATTAAAGTCTCTTTGAGAGCCTGCAGCCCACTTAATGCAGTATGTCCTACAACAAGCATTATTAAAGGTATCTTTCCATACTGTCTATGATTGAGATTGTGCTAGTCTGGAGTTAAATATTCTTCTTATTATTGTCATATCTATACATTTAACACTGGTTGTAGAAATGCTGCCATGTAAAGAATCTTTCTATTAAGTTACCAATGACCAATGTTTTCTCATCATTTTTAGTCCCAGTTGAGTATAAAACGGAACCATTTCCTTAATTAAATCCATTATCAACCAGCATTCATAACCAGCTTCTTCTAAGGACTTTATTATTACTGTTTTTTACCACTCACTGTCTCAAGCAGAGAAGATGATACCTGCATTAAACCTTAACCTAAATAATGGGGTCAAATGACAGTAATTCTTGAAGTGTTGCTTTGAGAGCTGCCTACACAGCCAGCACTGCCATCAGCAGCAGGAAACCCCTGCGGGAATGTGCCTGGCAAGGGTTAAGCTCTTACCCACGAGGATAATTAGCCGGTGCCGGTCTGTCGGGTGCCGCTGGTACCTGACCACCTCTTCGTAGGGAGCGGCCAGGGCGCTGTAGCAGCTGCTGGGGCAGCGGGAGTAGCAGGACTGCTGCTGGAGCCGGGCCTTCCTGCGGCACAGCCGCATGCTCCTGCGGAATCCAGCTGCAAAGGGGACAAAGGCACACCGCTGGAAAATACAGCCCACGTGCAGGCAACTGGCTCCTTAGCCCAGAGGGCCTCTTGCTAAGGCACACAACATATTACCTCTTCTGAGGTTTTTGCAAGGTGAAGGTTAGTGAATTTCATTGCTGCACTTGATATGACAGCTTGGTAGAATCTCTGAGCATTACATGACAGCTACAGAGTTGGTAAAATCCCATTGAAAGTCACCTGAAAATTAGCCTGGAATTAAAGACTTCTGAAAGATCCCCCAAACAAGCTAGAGGAGAAGTTTCTGACTACCTGAGGTCTCCCTAGGGAACAGGTCAACTTTTTTTGATAGTGTAGGTGATTCACTCTCATGAAGCAAGTCTGGAACATTTGCTCCAGCCTCCAGAACATGTATTTTAAAGGTCACTATGGTTTAATAACCACAGAGGTAGGTTTGTTTCTCCACTTGACCATCCAACTCTGAAAACTTCACATATAGGTGCACTTTTCTAATGAAAGCCCTCATGATTATTCTCAGTGATGACAGACATTACTTTAGAGCAAAATTAATCATGAAGTCAAGTTGAAATAGCAGTGGCCAAGTCTCTGTAGAAACCTAACAGGAAGAAAGATTTAAATGGAGAGATTGAGCATTATTAGGAAGAAAGAGACTTCCTGATGTTTGCAAAACAGAGTAAGCTGTATTCCATTTAGTAAGTCTTTAAGTGATATAAAGAACAAAGATTTTTACTGAACTTCATTAAGCTAGATCAAGCCCCAAACATTTCACTTATCTTTAGTCATTGCATACCAATAAAGACTCGTTGACCAAATTCACCAAATTCTTCCTCTTCTAGAATACAAAGAACAAATAGCCATGAAATAAAAAAGAAAAGAGAAAATTAAAAGCTAGATGGCAAACAATTATTGCTGATCCTAAGGAAAAAAGGAGTTTCAGTAAATATGTGGAAGTATGATGCTTAATATAATTTTAAAAGCATGATACTCTATAATATCAAAGTATTTCACATGATCAAGGACCAATTCAAAAGGGTTACTGTAAGAAAAAATAAACATAGAACATCTTCCTAAATGAAATTTGAAACTTAACATTCTATTTGTTTCATTCCCAAGATATCTACATGCCAGACATTGTTTTGAAATTGAAATTAGTGAAAAAAACCTCCACATAATTTAAGCTTTTCAGGTGAAATCTATCTTACAAGAAGTCTTTAGTTAAAACAATAGTAACAAGTCAGTAGCTCAAAATTAGAAACAAAAACTGTGTAACTCAGTTTGTGCCCCATAGCATGTTTGGAAAATGCAACTTATGTCTGCTCAGATATTTCAGGCAAAACGAAGACCTGATTTTATTACTTCTTTTTATTGATTGGATCAGTGATATCTGCTCCAACCTGTGAGCCTAACCTCTTTCCTCTAATTCTTTTTGTCCTCGTTCTCATGCTGTTCATCATGAAGGCTTTACTATTCAGGTGAGACTTCTAAAACTCTGTATTTTTTAAAAATTAAATCTCTCATAAAAGGCTCAAACATACCAATTTTCCAATAAGCCAATGTTCAGAAAGTATAGAAACTATTTGAGAAAGGTGATTTGAAAACAAATCAAGGAAAAAAATTGTGCCAGTGTTTAGCTTTCTTTTCAAAAAGTACTCCTTATTTTCCCCTAACTACATATGTAGTTATCCAAATTGTGCATTCCCTTTACTTAGGCCTTAAAGCAAGAATGAGATACAGAAGACACAGGCATGTCTTTAAAAGCAGTATTTGTTCCAAGGAAAAACATTATTTTCATTTGCAAAGCTTTGAAATACTTTTAGCACTCTTTGATTTACAGTTATCTCATAAGCATGGAAGTATTGAAACAAAATTAGATGCATGTTAATTGCCCTTTCACATCTATACTCTCTTCATTACTTGTACCTTTACAATACAGTTTTTTTCCTACATTTCTGTATGTACTAACAACTAGTTAATGACTATGGGAAAAATTCCTTATCACAAAACTGCTCATTCAGGGCAATGTTCAGAGTAATGTTCAGCTGATACATGCCCATCTATCTTCAAGTCTCTTGAGTCATCATTCAAACATGTTTAAATCTTTCTGCTTTATCTACCCTGTCTTCTGTGGTATGGAGTGCAGTGTAGAATCCTACAGGGAACAAGCAATTCAGCTACCAGGTATTGCAAGAAGAGTGGTAGTTCCTGCTAAAGCATAAACACAGATAAATTCTATTAGATTACTGCTACAGGAGACAGGGAGAAAAATGTTAGTGTTACCTTCTTTAAGCTCCTCTGCAGATTCAGATAGAGACAGATATAAAACAATTAGCTTTGAGAAGACAGTCTATACTATGCTCTAACAAAAAATCCAACCAACATTGTCCAACGCATTTAGGGAATGTAGAAAACAGGTACTACAGACATTAAATCTAAAATATGCTTCTTTGAGCATGAATTCTTAGTTCCCAAAGAATGCAAGAACTGCAGCATCTATTTCAGTATGGTAGCGCAAAATCTGCAACTACTTAAAGTGGTTAAAGTGGAAGGTAGGATAGCAAATATTTGCACCTTTAGTTCTCTGACTGTGTGGACAGAGCAGACAGCTGACTCAGCACTGAGCAGGATTTGCAACAGTAATCCCCAAGTGCAGCTATCAGAAACATCCTAGCCTGAAAACAAAAGACTGCCCTGCAGACCTGCTGGTTATGCCTAAAAGCCTTGGGCATTGCTTGAGAGGTAGAAGAGAACTAACGCCTGTGATAAGAAGGTGCAGAAAGAAGAACTGGCAAGTAGAGACCTTGTGGAGAAGAGCAAATCTAAGGTAAAATGACACTCTTCTCCACAAGATTACTGAATACTTCAAATGAGAAGTTTAGCAGTAGTTTTTTAGGGGAGAAATTATTTATTAAGAAAGATTTAAGCTTTGCAGAACTGTCAACATGCTGTAAATAAGCAGCTGCTTCCTAAATGAATCAAACAACCAACCAAAAACCCCCATATCAGCTTAGTCAAATAAAGACTGCTTATTGATTGTATTTTTTATACATAAATAATGAATTTGATAAGCATTTTTCTTTCCTGTATGTCAGCCATGCCCACAATCAGGAATCCAGAAGCAGCTTTCCTCTTTACCACATCAACTCCTACAGGCACTGGGGATTCAGGCCTGCATATTACTGAAGGTAATCCAATTACCTGCTGACATCAGTGCAGCCCCTGCTGTCACAGCTTGCACGGGTACAGCTGACGAGGGTTGGATAAATAGGTCTGCTACTGATGCACGAGAAGAAACATTCACACTCGTGGGATAAGAGGACAGAAACCTGACTACTAAGGTAATCAGAGAATAAGAGGAAGACTTAAAGCAACAGGATTTTACATAATGGCTTTTCAAGCCAGAATGGCTCCTGAAGCTGAAGTGGCATTTTGGTTTTTGCCACCTGCTTGTTTCTAAGATGCTTCTCTCTGGACACCCTTCTCACAGCAGAACAATTGCAAGGAACTCAGAGTTAGGTCAGAGGAACTTACCTGACTCAAATGTTTCTTCATCTTGTTTAGTAATCCAGATAGCAAAGATATTAAAATAAATTCAAAATTTAATTCTTTTCCTTCTAATGAATATCAGAAACAGAAATCAGTTTTCAGGCTTCTGTCAGTCTGTCTCACATATACTTTCCCCAGCTGCTTCTACCCCGAGGTGGCAAAATACAGCTCACCATACTTGAATTACCTGCTTCATTTCTTTTCACACAGTCCTACAGGATCACATCTCTCCATGAGAGCTTCTCAATTACCTTGGAGAAGGAAGAATGAACTGCACTGCTTTAGGGAGCAACTCAAGCTACCAATCTTTACACTCAGTGTTCACAAGCAAAAACCTATTCTTGCTCCTTGTTCTCCCAAGATCAGGGATTTCTTGACAAGGAATTGTGTGGGTTCTCCAAGACCACAACAATCCGTGCCATTAAATATGCAATAGGCAAAAAAGTATGGTAACTTTACAGCCACAATCCAACACCTGAATCAAAGCAGTTGCATCTCATTCAAGCAAATATTTTTCTGCTGGTCAAAGCACTTGACTATAAGCACTGTACACCAGAACTGCAAACAGCTCATTTTAATACACTAATATGAGAGGAGGTTTCCAGGGTATGAAAAATAGAATTTTCTCCCATTAAGTTCACTAGGAGAATGAGTGGTTTTATCTAGGAAATGAGGCTTTAAACTAGCTACTGCCTTGAAGAAATAAAATAATCTCAAGTGAATTCAGTTACCTGTTTCCACACACTTTTCGTCAATCTGCATGTCATCCTCTACAGATCAACACAAGGGAAAAAAATTCATCTGAATCAGAAAACCACCAGAGAGGAAAAGCACCCTTACAGATCTTACAAGACTGAACTCAGACATCAGAAACAAGATAGGTGAAGCTCAAATCATCTTTAGACATCTTTAAGAATTTTAACTCTTAACTCCAATTTAGTGATGTTCTTTGTATTACAGTGAACAAAAACTCTTCAATGAGTGCTCTGAGGGCAGAGAGACAAATGCATCTAACTTGAATTCTCCTCTTGATATAATGAAAGGTTTAACATGCCTGTCAATCTGTTTATCCAGTAGATATCTATTTATTAAGTATTACCACGAGGGAATATAATTTTCTTCTTACAGCTTTTAAATATCTTTCCAACTTGCTACACTCAAGGAAAGTATTTTGCTTTTTATTTATTTATTTTTATTATTACTTTTACAAGGAAGAAAAGGAAAAGATCAATTCAGCTCTTTCTCAATCCCCAGACTACATCAATTTATGTCCCAGAAATGTGATCACATGAGCTTGGGCAATCTCACAGGCTGACAATACAGCTCTGTTTGTGTTTTGTTCTTGCACATCCTTCCAGATAGGCCCAGCAGGAGCTATTTTCTAGTTACAGGGCACTTGTCAGGGTATCTGTCAATCACATTCTGCCCACATGTATCCTTTAAAGAAATTCTCTCTTCGAGCTGCTCTAGGAGAGAAAGAAGGAGAATAATGGAGAAAGAGGAAATTTTGTCTTTCTTTCCTCAAAGAACCCATTCAAACTGTCACTTCCCTGACAGATAATGCACAGCTAAGGTTTCCACTTTAAGACAATGTATGCATCTATAGGTGAAAAAAGGCTGGATTTCAATTATGTTAAGCACACAAAATGCCAAGAACTTGGGCTTCTTCCACATGTATTTATCAAAATGCTTAATTCCTGACAACTTTTTACAAAGCCTGTAAAACCATGTGTCATATTGGTTCCAGGTACAGAAATGCAGTGCTGTCCAGGTGTGATTCCCTACCTTCTTCCACAGTGCTTACTGCTCACAGCATATCCATTGAAGCAGTTAAAATGCAATAAAATTATGGTGAAAGAGAGCCTCAGCTCTAGCAAGCAATGCAATCAGTGCAAGCAGAATCCTAGGGAATGTAACACATGCCCCCTGGGATTTATCATGAGAGAAAAATTTTATACTTGCATAAAGAGCCATAGAAGGAAATGGGGGCAGAAGAAACAGGAAGGACTTTTTTTCTGGGAATAATTGCATATTTACAGAAAATTATAGTTGGCAGAAGGTAATATTTCTGGATTGTTACCATGAATAAATTCAAGGGCAGCATAGCATATCTTAGACCTCAAGAAAATAAGTTCTATTATTTTCTCAATAGCTTTGATGGCAAAGAAATATTCCAAACATGGCACTTCTCAGTGGCAGAGCTGGTATCTGTGTCCCCAGAAATCCAGGCCAGTACAATTGTCACCTCAAGACTTACAGCTAATTCTCCTTGAGAGAACTGGCTGGCCTAGTGAGGTCCCAGAACGTAGAGACTTTAGAAGAAGTTGAATTCACAGCTTCTCTTAAGGTCAGATCTCAGGTACACTGGAGACAACCATCTCCACCATCACTACTCCAGGTACAATTATCAGTAAGTATTTTTTTTCAGCGGATAGTTAACACAGTTGAAGGTTACAATATGGCTCCAGAAACAATGTGTTTGAACTAAGCTGAACTGCATGAGTTTTTATTTCAGTGTCCCTGAAACAGAGACAAGATCTTTCTTTCCTGCTGTATTGCTCAAGTAACTTTTCACTCACACATTGATGATTTGAGACAGAGGTGGGGCTGGAAGGGCTGACACCACCAGAACTCTCGCTGCTTCCTACATAGAAATAAATTTATTACAGTTAAAGAAACAAAACAGTCCACAAGCACATTATGCTCCAGTCAGATTTACTGCTTACATGTAAGATTGATCAGTACTGAACTGAGAGAAGACAGCAAGAACTGAAACATTACCAATGTTTTAGCTCACTGCAAAGACCTAAAATAAAACCAATGTGCTATCAGAAGTATTCAAATTTCCAAATCAGCAGCCCAGAAGTACTAAGAATTTATACAAAAGTACAGGAAGATAAGCCATACAGTGGTACAGACTCCTGGAAATAGAAGAGTGTGCTACTGGTAAGAGTAGTAGTACTACTGCCTCCATTACTGCACAGAGCCTCTTGCAGCCTGAGTCACAACCCAGTTTCATTTCACCTTGCATTATACAGACTGCAGGTAAGCTTATATTTATTATAAAGTCAAGTTTATCATGTGCTAGTGCATGGCCTTACGTTATCCTGGGGTTACCACAGGACATGTGGTTAAAGGATCAGATTGGAAAGTTTGCTACAGCAGTGTAAGAACTCTGATTCTGAATTCATGTAGCATAAAAATAATGGTCTATTTATGCAGAAAATTATGAGCAAGAGACCCTTGTTCTTTCTTGAGTGTTTGTTTTTCTCTGTTTCTGTAATCTGCTCTACTCAGTTTTGACCAAAGCTGAAGAGGTTACTCATGCATCAAAGGACATCTTTAAAAACATACTATGCTTTAAGTATCCCTCTTCCCCTTGCTTTTTTTTTTTCATCACAGATGATGGTCATTTAGTAGTCAGGGCCCTCAATTTCAGCTGCTACACTCCACCAGATGTCTTAGCAACCAGCATGGAGACTGGATAAGTGCTGCAAATTTCCTAAATGGAAATTTGAGATTATACAATCTCAATGGCAATTTGAGATTATACAAGAAGCTTTCAAAGCTTCTTCTCACACAGGTGCTCTTCTGGGAAAAATAGCAAGAAGTCAGAGATCAGAAAGAGGAAAGGTGTTTGTCAGATGTCACTCTGAATCATACTGCTACAAAACTTAGGAAAATTTTGAATAACTGGCTGATTTTTGAATCAGAAATCAGGAAAATGATGATTTTTTTACCTTTTAAGAAGATGATTTGAGGGTATGAGTCCAGCACAGGCACTGAGATCTGAAACTTTCCTGGCCTGCCACCAGAGAGCATCATTCTGATCCACAATCTGGAGTATTTCACCCCTCTTGAAAGGCAAACCTGCATCAGCACATGGTATGGCAGGATCTTGCAAGGGCCAGTAATCTGCCATTGCTCGCACGTACACCTAGGAAAAAAACATACAGGAGTGAGCAGAAGCCAAGTCTAGAATGGATACAACACATGATTTACAATTTTCAGTCTAATGATGAAATCAAGTTTTAAAAACCAGATCAAGCCTTAAATGCTCTCTGTTCATTAAATGAGGAAAAAAACCCATTTATCTCATACATTATGAAAAGAACTGACCTTCAACTTGTAGATCACTCAGAAAGTGCCTTTATTACACAGTTACATCTCTTACTGTCTTTACTGCTTCAGCAACACCAACCACATTGATGTCAGCTGAGAGGCAGCCATAGAGGCAAGGTAACACTTTAGGGATTGCAACAAACTTCCAGGTAACACCATGTCTTTGTATCACACAACTGGGCATTACTGCTATCAGTCTGGGAAAAGAAAAAGAATGTTTCTTACTGTTGTTTGGTTGCTGACAGGCCGATCAGAAACTGGAATTAATTTGAACATAATTGTCCCCTGAGACAGGGCCTAAATGATTAGAAAATAATTAAAATATGGTTGGTATTCAACACAAGTAAACGAACATAGGCAAGACAGAGCATGGCTTTGAGGATACTGCAATTTTTGTGTCACAGATAGAATTCAGGTAGACAGAGTCAATGTGATAATGCTATATTTTTTCCAAAAGGAAACTCAAGAATGAAACATCAAAGTTTTGTTAAATATTTTTAAATTTAATGCAACATATGTTTCATTGTAAGTATACGTAATTTCAGCATTGATTCATACCAAACTTTTCTACTGAAATCTTATTTAAATTAGCAGCAGAGTCTGGTTAGATGGGTTATATAAAGGGGGAGGAACTTAATTTAGTAATTAAACATTTCCAATGGCGTTTGTATTTCTTATACCTAGAAATGGTACAGCCATGGCAATGGCACAGAGACTTGGTATGATTACACACAGAAATACCTCACTGGCTGGCACTTAACAGTTAAGAACCCTGAAAAACTGTGCACAAAATGACAAAACAGGGACACCTCAAAAGATTTCTTCATGAGAATTTTGACAACAATAATTACACTGCCCTTTTCTTGCAAGGTAAGGTGTGTAGCTTACAAGCTCATTTACTCTGCTTTAGTGCATTTTGTAACATGGACTCTTACTAGAATAGCAGCTTTCCACTACTTTCTTGTGGAATATTTCTGAGTGGCACTTCTAGAAAAAGTTACGAATCAGTGAAGGCTGAATAAATTAGTATTTTTGCCAGAAGCTGCAGATGGAATGGTAACAGTATAGGTAATTTCTGCTCAGAACAGAAGTTAGATTTAATTCTGCTTTCATATATTCTGATTTCATGAGCAGTTGGGAACTTCATTCACAGTAAGGAAACATCTGAATTTTCTGTTAAAAATTCCAGGCTTTCTCATGTACAAGAGCGTGTAAAAGAGCGAGCATACAAATAATCTTAAGGTACAAAGTAGAAAACATATTTAAAAAATATTAAATACCAGAATATTAATGACTTGCTCAGGCTCAAGTCCCTCAACAGGAACTCCATTTACTTCCACCAGTTTGTCTCCAGCATACAGCAACCCTACCATGAAAACAAATATGAAAACAGCAGCAGGAGTTTTATCACAGCATGATTTATCTCAAATAGGCAAGGCAGGGTCACACAGAAATATCATAGGTTTTAAGTCAGCATTAAAATTTTCCTGCACCCTGTATGGAGGAAGGCATTTTGGATATCCAGGAGCTGCACTGCTCCTGGATAGGACTGCAGACTGCTGCAGGTCACAAGGAGCTTGCATGCTTCAGCTTTCTTAATCCTTCCCACTCCCTCATATGACATCTTTGCAATCTACTGATTACATGCCTTAAAATTAGCATAAACATTTTAATATTGCTCCATTTCTCAAAGTAAATTATGAACCTATCCTATAGTAATAGACCATAAGACTTGGAATCAGACCCCTAAAAACTCCAGGTGCAGTGGGAGCTCCTGGGACTCCTCTCTGTCCTTTATGGTAAAGTCTTCACAATATTGTTTTCTTTTCCATGTTCCTTTAATTCAATAAAAATATTAGTCAAACTAGGAACTTAATCAACTATTTTCTGCAAGTTGAGATTTTTTCTCTATACAAAGGCCAGAAAATACTAAAAGGAACTATTTTATAATGATTGCAGTTGAATTTTACTTCTGATGTTTTACATTTTAATTACATTACATTTCCTAAGGGACATGGAACACATTCAATTCTAGGATGACAAAGTAGTAACATTTCCAAGGAAACTCCTTGCAAGATTGCTTAGCTACTAGTGCTAAGCAAGGTGTTTAGCAGAGTAGTGTCAAAAAGTATTATTACATATTCCTTAAAGCCCTTTATCTGCTAGAATCACCAATTATTGATGTTTACCATTTCTCCATTAGGGAATGTGCTGCATTTCATACTACACTGCAATTTGGGATATCCAGGTACTGGTGCCAAGAACATATAATGAAAACTGGATTTCTTCATCAACTTAGTCTAAAACAGCAAATTCATCTGAAAATCTATGAAGTCAGAGTGAAAGTCACTGCAGTGCATCACTGCTTACAGTGCTGTCCCATGTGCACATCATCTTGCTCTGTAATGGAAGATTAACTGTAGAAGCTAAGGAATTGTCTTACTTCAAATATCTTATTTCAAGTTCAGTTTTATGTATCACTTTGTTTCAAATTCCACCTACCACTTCTGTCTGCCAGCCCACCATGGATCACACGGGCAACCGTTATGTCACCTGTTATCTCATGGCGTTTAATGGTGGCACCCTGGCAGGTAAGAACACAGAAAAAACACATTGATCACCAAAGGACCCCAGTAAGTTTCCTTCCATATCACAAGTCTGATCTTCAGGCTGACACAAAGATATTGAAGGATACAGCCTTTTTACCACAACATGGATATAGCAGTAACCACAGAATCACAGAATAAGCTGAGTTGGAAGGGACCACAAGGATCACTGAGTTCAACTCCTGGCCCTGCACAGCACCATCCCCAAGAGTCACACCCTGTGCCTGAGAGCATTGTCCAAATGCTTCCTGAGCTCTGTCAGGCTTGGTGCTGGGACCACTTGCCTGGGGAGCCCATTCCAGTGCCCAAACACCTTCTGGGTGAATAATCTTTTTCTAATATCCAATCTAAAACCTCCCCTTACCCAGCTTCAGGCCATTCCCTCTGCTCCTGTCACTGGTCACCAGCAAGAAGAGATCAGTGCCTGCCCCTCCTCTTCCCCTCACAAGGAAGTTGTGACTGCAGTGAGGTCTCCTCCAGGCTGAGCAGACCAAGTGACCTCAGCCACTCCTCATACAGCTTCTCCTCAAGGCCCTTCACCATCTTCCTGGCTATCCTTTGGATACTTCCTAATAGTTTCATGTCTTTCCTATATCATGGCACCCAGAACTGCCCCCAACACTTGAGATATGAAGCTGCCCCAGTGCAGAGCAGAGCGGGACAATCCCCTCCCTTGCCCAGCTGGAGATGCTGTGCCTGATGCCCCCCAGGACACACTTGGCCCTCCTGGCTGCCAAGGCACTGCTGATTCATATCCAACTTGCCACTGACCTAGACCCCCAGGTCTCTTTCCACAGCACTGCTTTCTAGCACCTCATTCCCCAGTCTGTCCATACATCCAAGGTCGTCCCATCCCAGGTGAAGAATCCAGCACTTTCCCTTGTGGAACTTCACATGGTTGGTGATTGCCCAGCCCCCTCCTTTGCTGAGGTCTCTCTGCAGGGCCTCCCTGCCCTCAAGGGAGTCAACAGCTCCTCCTAGTTTTGTATCTCCTATGAACCTGCTCAGAACCCTTTCCAGTCCTGTGTCTAGATCATTTATGAAGCTGTTGAAGAGCACAGGGCCAAGGATGAAGCCCTGCAGAACCCCACTAGTGACAAGTGCCCAGTCTGGTGTAACACCAGTCACTGTAACCCTTTTCGCCCAACCCATGAGCCACCTGCTTACCCATCCCATAATGTGTTTATCCAGCTGTGTGCTGGACATTTTGTCCAGAAGGATGCTCTGAGAGACAACATTGAATGCTTTACTGAATTCCAGAAGAATTACATTAATTGGCTTCCTCTGATCAGCTAGCTGGGTTACCTTGTCATAAAAGGAAATCAGGTTTGATAAGCAGGACTTTCCCCTCACAAAGTGCTGGCTGTGACCAATGACTGTGTTGTCCCTCAGGTGTTTTTCAGTACCTCCCAGAATAATCTTCTCTGTAACTTTACCAGGCACTGAAGTGAGACTGACAGGCCTGCAGTTTCCAGGGCTCTAATGTTTTAGTACTAAGTCCTTCAATGTCTTCAACTTCCATCACACTAAAATAACCTCACTGATTGACAGTTAGAAATCTTTTTTATCTCCAATATTACAGCTATCTTTCTCTAAAACAGATTAGCTAAGCTATACAATGTTTGCTGCTTATAAGTACAAACTATTACTAAAGAACTCTCCTCCCTTCCTTTCTGTTTTGGCCCTGAGAATAACTCTCAATCCAGTTTGGTTTTATCTCATATAATGAAAATACATCTGGCAAATGTTCAAACACTGAGCAGACAAAGCACTGAACAACCTACACCCACACCATGCATGGCTAGGTCCTTTCTCAGGTCCTTTCCAGCCTCAACAATTCTTGTGATTCTATAAAATCTGGACAAGAATGCACACAATCCCCATGACATTCCTGGGAAGAAACCAATATGCATCCAATGCATTATTAATTCTTTCTAACTTAAAAAAAAATTGACAGACACAAGAAAGGTCCCTCACCAGAGGCTGGTTGTTTTTCACTAAGCAGACAATCCTCATAGCTTCTTCATTTTCAGGTATGTTTTCTGGCAATGGTGGAAGGGTTGGTTCAAAATCTTTCTGGGCCACAGTATCATGAGCAGATAGCAAGGCCTGTTACAAATGGAAACAAGCAAACCAACCAACCCATAAGCAAAGATCCATAGCAGAGCTTTAAACAGTGACTGGTCAGAAACCAGATATCACTGAATGTGTTCCTTTGTGAACACAGATTCCTTGCATATATTGACATTTTCTTCTTTCACCAATAAAATCAAACCATGAAGGTTTTAAGAACAATTCCTCTATTTCTTGTGGAAAACCTTCAAAAGAGGAAAGAAATATTTCTATTTGGAGCTCTTGGGTTAAGAATGCAGGTTCTGCAATTTCAAGGAAAATTTGATTTATATATCTGCATTAACTGCCCATAATTAAAAACTTTGTAAGAAATGTGTTTCAAAGACAGCTTTAAGTAAAATGCAGCCCACTGCAGGTACTTCAGATACACAGTCCACATTTGATCTCATGATCAGATTAGTTCATCATTAGTAAACTGTCTCCTCTGGCCCCTTTACCAATTCTTGTGAACAGCTGCCCATCCATTTCCATTCCCTCTGCAGAGACCTCCATGAGCAAACTTTTTCTTTCCTTATGCAGGACTTGCCTTGAAGTGTGGAGAACGCAGTAGCCGTCTTAGCTCTTTGACCTCTCCTGACGGAGGGGCTTCATGCAGCAACTCTACCACCTGATAAATGTAAGAAAATAAGCACAGAGATGGATAATGTAAGAAAATAAGCACAGAGATGGATTCTAGAGGACAATTCTTTTAGAAAGCTCTACACTGAATGTAAAGGAATGGAGACAGTGCAAAGCCACCCCCCCCCCCCCCCCCCCCCCATTATGTGAATCAGGGGATGTCCATATGGTATGCTCTAGAACTGGACAATATGACCACAGCTGCACAACACTCAGCCAGGCTTAATTTAGTTCAGGCACAGTGCCATGTGCTCTAAATCAGTTTTTGCTCCCTTCTCTCAACCAATTTCATCACTAGTCTCAGTTTCTCTACTTCATCATTAACTCTCCCACTAATTAAAAGATTTAGAATTCAGCTATTATAATTAGAAAAATCTAAAAAGCTTTTCAATATCCTCACGTCAGTCTGCTTGATTGTAGCCATAACACTGAACCACAGAGTTACATGGGAAGAAAAATACGTGGTCAGTGATGAAACAATTAACATGTGTGTTCATTACACTGGCCAGGATTTGCGTAGACCAACAGCCACAGCTGTGCCCATTTCTCATGCTGCCCCCAGTAAGGGCTGTTGAGTAGTTTTACAGATGTGTAAGGAGAGTTTATATACTGTGCTTAGACCTGAGACACAGAATCAATACCAGAACACTTAACTGCAGCAGAGTGCTTTCATTTGGGTAAATAAAGCAATAAACTGTGCATAAAATCTCACCTCACGACTCAACGCACGTGCCTGCAGTGTGACTGGAGCTGGTCTTTTTCCAAGATATTGTTGGAGGCATTCATAAATCTGTTGCATGCCATGACAGACAAAACAAGGCAATGATGACATTGACCAGTTCACATGATTGTATAGATACATACATAACAGGCAATGGACAACACTATTTCTGGAAACTTCTCGGTCCAACTACAGCTCCAGAGTCTGCAATCTCAATTCTTAATATCTGACACATCTGAAATTGAGTCTTGAACTCAATGTCTTTCCATATCATCAGGTAGCTAGCCAGTTACACTGTAGTTGAATTTTTCTAGAAGAAAAGCTGTCTACACAGGTAAATAGCCTGATAGTAAATTCTCTGATTAGTAGCCTCTTTCCTTCCTCTAGTTGAAGGCATAATTGCTGCATTTAAAATACCCTTATGAGCATTCTTATCCAGTAAAAGCTCCTCTTTAAAAATCAAAGACTTTAAAAATCCTTCTTAAAGAAAAGCAGAATTTTTACAGAATTTGTCTCAGAGATAAAATTCTTCTCAAGATAGAAACACCAGTCAAAACTCTGTTCTCTAACAATATGAGATCTTCAATTACACATCAGATGAACGGAATGTAAAATAACATACAGTGTCACAGGCCAAGAAGTGGGATCCATAGCCATACAGAAATTTAAGAACAGGAAAGACAACTGAGCAATGATGTGTTCAGTGTCTGTCCCCTGTCCTCAATACAGACAGGTAAAGTAGAAGAGCCTAAATGTCTAGGATATTATGGAAGAGAATACTTTATTTTCCTTAAAAGCATAAAAGGTTTCATCTACTGTGACTGCTGATGTTAGAACTGACATCAGGACTATCAGCACTTAGTGTAAATAAGCATTTATTGTCCTCATATGGCAAAATCAAGTGCTATTCCCTAGAGATTGTTCTGTAGGTGACCTTGCTCTCCCAGCTGTGTGGCAGCTTACCTTGAGCAGTGCTTGCAGCCAGCGAGATCTGAGCAGCTCATAGAGCATGCCCACGCCATTGACATCCCTCTTACAGAGCAAGCTGAGCTCTTGCAGCGCTAGAGTCAGAACATGAGATACACCTGAGCCCAAGAAACAGAAAAGCGCAAGACACTTCAGTACAAAGAGAACACCAACCAAAGCCAAACAGTGACCCAGACCTTTGCAATGCACCTTTCCTCAATTTGTACTTCTAAGAAATGCACAGACATTTCCTGTCTGCCTTGCCTTTTTTCCTGCAATCGGCTCTGTTGCGTAAGAGCTATTTTACCACGTTATTAGCCAGCAGGTTAGGTCAATGCTAGCAATTTGCAACTGACCTGGGAAAAAGCCATGCAGGCAATCTCACATGTAACAGTCTGGGTTCAAGCTCATACCTCCTACCGAAAAAAGGTGAAACAACAAAAAACTCCTTGCCTTTATAAGCCAGAAACAAATGCCAGGTATTCTCCTCTGATGCTCTCTCAAGTTAACTGCATACCACCACTGAACATCAAGAATCATTCCAATTGTTGAGTAGTAATACTTCAGACACATTAATGTCTCTCATGACTCAATGGAAGAGTCACAGATCAATGAATAGAACTTTTTGAAAAGAGAAAGAAAACTGAAAAAGAGATGCAAAAGTTACCATTATCTTTACTGCTGACTGGTGGCACCTCCATCTTCTCCTTAATTCAAGGAGATTCCACTCACTTTGAATACTGCATTCACACCAGGTTGGTTTCACAAAGAAAGATGATGAACTAGAGAAAAGAGCACCCTCATATCAGAATACTGTCAGGTATTTTACACTGATAAGAAAGCAGAATTCAAAATAAAGGAAGGGGTGGGCAATAATTCGTATTTAAAGTGCACCACGGGTATAAAAAATAAATATATGAGTCCCACCTGTAAATTCAGCCACCCAGTAGCACCTAAGATGCAGACAGACAAAACTCAACTGCAGTATGGCATTTTAATGTCTTTATAGAATTGTCATTTGCTTGCGTCATTAAGTCATGGAAAACAGAAAGCTGTTTGGTCCATCTTCTAGCTCTCCAGTTTCTTAAGTGTACCACCATGAGAAATTGTAATTTTTTTCTAAAGACTTATATCTTGTTTTATACCCATATAGCTTGGAAAATAATCATATTCAAGGATACATTACATTTAATTCCTCTTAATATTGACACAATATTAAAACTGAAAGACTGGAGTTCCTACTGAATTTTCATTGAGCAAAGACATGATTTTGAAGAAAGGGATCCCTGTCTCTATCACTATTAGAGTTTAAGGTCTTTGAAGGATTTGTTCCACAGAGATTTCATTATTTTTCTCTTATTTCCTCACAATGAATTAAAAACCCAAAAGCCCAGAGAGAAAACCCTATTTCTTACCTTGCTGGTATCATCATCTCTCTCAGGCAATTTATAATAGGTTGTTACTTTTAGAAATAGACTCAAAGAAGTTATTTGCTAAACTAAAAAAAGTGTTGCTGATTTCTTTAATTACAAAAAGCAGCATATACTTATTTTTTTCTTTAGATTTTAAAATCAGCATTTTTAAGCAATGCAGGAAAGCAGCACTTACTAATTAATATGTATCCATGTTGCATGACCTTTCCACAAATAAAATATGCACCTTCTAAAATTTTCTTTCAAATTCCTTCACTCCCTTAAAATTCTGTGGCAACCTATCACTAGCCTATAATGTTCTCTTAAAGTAAAACTGGAAGAAGTTCTTCAGTCTGCTGTTCATGGCAAACAATGCGGTACAGGATTGCTTCAGAGAATTCTCTGAACTCTTCTTCTCAAAGTAGTATGGAAATTCCCCAGGGAACACCACACACTGCAGTTACACCCTAAAGCATCAAGAATCTATGTATGAAAGCTCTTAGGTAGTTCAAAATCTTCATTACATCCTAGCTGATTCAACTTCACACTTGATACAAGTGTAAAGGTATTGTCCTGGTTAGCAGTATTGTAGATTACTCTTAAAGAATTAAATATTTCAACTGGCCACTCAAGAGATAACTCAAATATCTGAGCATCTCAGCCAATAGTGAACCCCCGTGTGGCACAGTGAATGTGTTACACCAAATTCTGCTAAATACACAGAAGGTTATCTCCTGGATGAATAAAGTAAAAAGGCAGCCATTTTCCTCTAGATTGCTCTGTAGACAGAAAACAGCAAAGGTACAAGCAGGAAAAGTATTATCTTGATCTGCTTACAAAAGCAGAAGGCATTACTGTCACTTTTACTGCATTTAATACTTATTTTCAGAACACACTTCCTCTCTCTCCTGTTAAATCATAAAACTGCTTTCAAAAGGCAATGGAAATTAAGGGAGAAAAAAAATCATAAATTATGAGATTATGACTCAAACATCTTATTACTGAGCCTGGGCAATTAATTTCAAGTTACTTCTACAGGATACTCAATGGTACATCTTACTGAAATTCTAACCTGAAGACTGCTTTTACAATTACGATTTTTTTCTTTTGAAGATCCACAAAAATATAGTTTGATCCTCCCCCAGTACAACTGGGGTTTGAGCTGCAATTACTTAATATTTTTCAATAGTCTCAGTTCTTTTCCTTAAAGAATCTGCCTTCCCCATTTTTAAGCTTAGTTGATCTGCCTAATGATGGATTTAACAAAGCAGGACATATAAATCTAGTCATGAAAACCTGTTTCTTAATGGAGACAAAGCATTTGGAAACAAAAAACATTTCTGGAGATGCTAAAATATTTCAGATTCTGCTAAAACACAAACAAGAACATTGCCACTTAAATATTTTAAAGGTATTGATTTTTTTTCCCATAGAGCATTGCAGCTTATGGTATCAGTACAGCTTCCATAGAGAACATATTTGGGAGCAACTTGAGTGTGTTAGCAATTTTGGACACAGTTTACCTTGAAGGTGAACCTCAGATTTCCCAAAAATCTGGGAAAGCTGCTGAAGGTTTTGCTTGCCTTGTTGAGTGAAACCCTCAGCTACAGCTATCAGAGTTCTAGGAATAAACCTTTCCATCCATTGCTGTCATCTTAAACCACAGAGTTTATGCTCACACTAACAGAAGAAGCATTTGAACATGAAAATCTGTCAAGTTCTGACCACCACGGCTCACCTCAGGCATAAATTAGTAGCTGTTTTGTATTTACACAGCAAAAGGAAAGCAGCTTCCAACTGTGAAGCCTGGTTTTAGAAGCTGTCAGTAGCAACAGATGCCAAAAAAATCACTACCAGAAGAGAGGAAGAGTTGCTTCTTCAGAAAGAGACCTACTGGATTGCTTGCTCAAGGGCAAAGGTCAGAGCTCAAATACACATAGAATTACTACTGTGCCTTTATTTCCTGAGACTTTTATCTATGTAGACTCCAAGGCCAGAGCTCAGGGTCTCCTCATCCAGGGATCTAAATAAATTAGATGGAAATTCTTGCTAAAAGGCTTACCTGACTAATCTCCCAGGCAGTATAAGGGCCTTCCCATTCACGTGTATAGCATGCAACTACAGACGCTCATTAATAGAAAACATTTCTCTTTGCCTGTTGGTAGAGAAAGAACTGGATATCCACACTGAGTGTGCCAGAATTTGAGTCAAAATGAGTCCGTCATCTCAAGTCTGCAAACATCAGTTATCCCAAATCTGAGCTACTCCTTCAGCAGCAGAGTATAAAATTCCTTGACCCTAATTGTCAGACAGACAAGAACGTCTTATTGATACAAGGCTAGAGCTGCAAGGGAACCTAAGCCCTGTTTTAATAAAGTTTCAGAATTGTCTTTAAGCAGACAATTTTGCATCTTGTCAAGCCTCTGAAGGGGACAACACCAGAGAACCTGACATCCAGAACATCACACCTCTGCTCTTATACACTGCTTTAGTTAATATGTTAAACTTCAGCCTTTTACAAGGAAAACTACTCCTATCTTTACATTTGCCAAAATTAATGATTTGGTATATTGAAGACTGCAAATTAGCTTGAGGGAAGGAAACTTTTGAAAGCTTTTGTTGCCACTTTAAATCAGCAAACTGAGTAGGCAAAAAATGGAGGGAAAGATTCAACAACTCAAACCACATGCCTGGTTCGGGACTTTTTTGTACTGCATTAAATAAGCTTAATTAGGCCAGTATCATTACTGAAGTCTGACTGCTTCTTTTCTAGTCAGTGTAAAGAACCATTTTGCTTTTTGTATACTTTTTGAGACACTAAAATGTTTTAGCTAAAGCAGCAACCCCAAATATTAATGGAATAAATTGACACAAGCCTTTGAAACGATTTATCCTTATCTCATACCCAAGTACCTCTTAATAGAAGTCAGAGGCAGTAGAGTTTTGTAAAAAAACACCTGAAAAAATGTTATGTGCACACCAGGCATTCAGTGAGATTTCACAGAATCACACCTGCACGTGTGAGGTAATTTGTGCTGTTACTCTCTGTACCCCGATCTATTCAGTGGTGGTTCATTCTGCCTCCCTCCAACAATCTTAGAGCTGCAGTGGAGGGGAGAGTGCCTTGTTTACATGGGCTAAGAGCTGCCAAAACATCGCTCCCCAAAAGAGCAGCACTCAGACAACACTTGGATGCAGTCAAGAGGGGCAGTCAGCTTTACCTCCAGATATTTACTGCCAACAGCTTGGGCTTACAGAAGAGAAATCAAACTACCAAAAGCCCCCTAAATAAACAACCAACCACTGTATTGATATTAGATCAACTTAGAAGTACACAGCTAGGTTGTTCAAAAAAGGATTTGTTTTACAGTCCCATATCAGTCGCATATTTTTCTACATTATCTCTCAACATACCAGAACAGGTAGTTTCCTAACCTGTTTCTAAAAACAAGTATAGTTTTGTGAAGATCAGGACTGAGGAAAAAATTCCCTTTCAAGCTCCTGCTCCACATTCATACACCCCTATAATGTTTAGTTAACAAGAATTAAACAGGTATCAGAAGTTTAAATAGCTTTGCTATAGCTATGAGAGGAAACTAATTTCACATTTACATGTGGAAAACGCATCCTTGCAGAACAATGGTTTCAGTACAGTGCAAATTTTCTTACCTGCAAACCCCACAGAATACGCCATGTTCAGCTCATGTAGAATTTCCAGAGGGAAAGAGTATTTGTTGGATGTTAGTACAGCAAGTAACCTCACTGCCCCAGCTAATCTATGGACATCCTCTCCTTTCTAATCCGCAGAAACCTAACCTTAGAACTACTCATTACCAGGGAGAAGAGAACAAATCCCCTTAACCCTTTTCTTGCATAAAAAACTACTGTACATCGTCTCTCACCTAAATAGCTTCTTATTCTCATCAACTTTCCCAGTCAATAGGGTGCTCATCACTTGGGGTCTGTCTGCAGCTACTGTGCCTGTGATTGCAGTGAGAATCTGCAACACCAGGGTTGATCTTCTGTGGCTGGTTACAGGATTTCTGCTGCAGCACAGGAAATACCTGGCTTTCCATTAAAGAGGAAAAAAAAAAGAGAAAAAAGTAATTACCCTGAAGCAATCCAGCTGGAAAGGTCCTGCAGGTTAACTCATTTCTTTGTTAGTTACAGCAATACACAAATCAAAGCTGCTCTGTACTGATTTCCTAACGCATCCCAGCCCAGATCGGCTGTAAAGTGGAATCTGTGTCAGAAGCACATTTAATCCAGGGATTCTCTTCAGCTAATAACTGAGCTATATATCAGAAGGA